CCCTAAGGCTGGCCCTGCACACACACATACTTTGTAACAGAGCTCCCTGTACCCCAGCTGGGTACCTCCACCAAGTTCACTTTCTAGCTCGAACCGGTAAACCTGAAGAGCTTGTGGGACTCAGCTCGTGCATAGAAGTGTAGGAATATCAAAGCCTTGTGGTGCTTCCCCTGAAATAGGCTGAAGGGGAGGGGCTGAAATCTTCTTTGCCTTCCTTTCTACCACGTATTGAGTCCAATTGTGTAAATGGACTAATCACAATCCAAAATATTTTCAAGGATTTACAGTTTGCAAATAAGCATATAAAAACAATAGAACAAATAAATCAAGAACATGAAAATAGTTCAATGCGTTTTTCCACCTTAGAGAGACACAAATAAAATACAATGAAATTAAGCATTAAACAATCACTCAATTGTGAATATAGAGCCTAACCAACCTTCCCCTGAAGTGCCTTAAATAGGGTCATTCTCTTACAGTCATTGGTGGCTCAATGGGCATTTTCCACTTCATCCTCCTGATTACTTTCCTCCCATAAACTTTTTTGATCGGGCCAATGACTCAGACGTTTATGGGTATGAAAAAAAATTAAGAAAGTAAATAGTATGGATATTGAAAAGATAATAAAAATGTTGATCTTGCATTCTTGGGTTCTCGCTTCATAAAATCAAGAAAATATATAATAGAAAACATACAAGGTCCACATCCATGTTTAAACACTTCGGCTCCAGTGAATCCAATTTGTGTATTCAATATGTTTACCTTCATGGTAATTTATTGATTATGTATTCAATATGTTTACATTCATGGTAAGGTCCCATTTATCATCCAAACATTTACTTAGCACATTCACCATTTAATTATATCTGGAACTAGGCACAATCATGCACATAATTGAATACCCAAACTCTCAAAGTAGTTGGTTCCTTGAGAAAGGCATTATGCCGAAATGTTGGGGGTAGGTTGACACGTCTTTGCTCTCATATAGCTTTTGCTTTGAGTAGTTGCTTTTTTGTAAGTTGTTTTGTAGCCTAACTTTATCACTATTTGTAATTTATTTTCCTGGCTAATCATGGCAGCATATACACATGGGTTAGCTCCTCCCCTTACAGCCAATAGGACAGGTTTAAACAAATTCTTATAAAAGGAGGATCCAGAGAAGAGACCCTCAGTCTTTTTCCTGTCCTTACAGCCCTTAGGAAGGGAGCTTTTTTTTAAGCTCCCTCTATAATTTTAAATACTCTACTACTTTCACCATTTCTTTTGCAGTGTGCTGTAAAGTGCACAGTGTATGATTTAATTAATCCCTACAATCCTCTTTCTAGGTGATTCCCCTTTTTACCCGGTTTTATTCTTACCAGGTCAGTCCTGGGCTGCCTGAGACCTTTAGGAGTCTTCCTAACTGCAATTAGGTTCACTGGCTTTCCGTCCTCGGTTCTCCCAGGTCGGGAGCTCGGATAGGAAGCCCGCACATGCGCAATGCGCTAGGTTTGTTTTGGCGGCAGAATGCAGTCTGGGTAAGGTCGCGGCGGCCATCTTTACTGTGGGCAAAATCTGAAAATTACGGGTAATTTGCAGAAAACGCCAGAAACAGGTTAGTAAATGGCTGGTACTATTTAAAAGAAGCTGGAACTCGAAGAGATTGTTGTGGATTGAGTTATTTTACAATTTGAATTGGATTATCTAAAAGAGAAGCTAGGACTCTGGCATCATTTCTATTCTTTGCCACAGGTTTGTGTATTTCTGATATACATGTATCCCTTTATTTTGATAATTTGTTTTGTGTATTCTAAGAGAATTATTTGAAATTCTTTATTGTAGTTAGCACATTATGAGCTCTACTAGTAGGAACCCTTTACCCTGTTCAGCAGAATCCAGGTGAGTAGGCCTCCATATATATTTTATATATAACGTTAATGATGTTTTTACTCTCCATCTACTAACAGTTACTTATACTACTTTTAGTAATGGAGAACAGTCTATATCATCTCCCCCACAAAAGAGGAGACATCCTTGTGCAGGATGTGATGGGAAGGCATTGGAAGGCAAACAGCTGTGCTTAAACTGTTTGCAGAAGGTGGCCACTCCAGCAGCCGTAACACCCACTCAGTCACCAGATATCCTGACTTGGATCCGACAGGAGGTGGCTCAGGGCATCTCAGAGGCCATGGAGGCAAGTAATCGGTCCGTGAAAAGACCAAGACAGAGACTGGTATCCTCAGAATCATCTGTCTCAGAATACCAGGGTTCAGCTGAAGAGTTTCAGGTTCTCGATCAGATTTATTCTAGTGAGAACGAAGAAGAGGTCTTGTCGGAATATCTACTGCCAAGACGGTGGATAAATTCATCCTGAAGGTAAGAAAGACCCTTGAATTACCAGAAGATCTTCCTAAACCTGAAGTTTCTGATAAACATTTTGTGGATCTTAGGAAGCAGAAGCCTTCACAGAGCCATTAAGGAGGTGGTTACCGCAGAATGGGAAAAACCTGATAAAAAGGTTCCATTTCAGGGCAGGCTATCCAGGCTTTACCCTTTGGAGGAGAAAACTTAAAAAAAATGGACGACACCTCCAAAAGTTGATGCTACCATCTCTAGGGTTGCTAGGAGAACTAGTCTACCACTGGATAGTGCAGCCTCCTTGCGGGAACCAATGGATAAGAAATTGGATTCTGATCTTTCCGAGATATATTCAGCGGGAGGTACTGGATGCCATCCAGCTGTTTGTCTTACGGCGGTGTCCAGAGCCATGAAAAGTTGGATAAAAGACCTGGATACAGATGTGGAAAGAGGAATTAAGAGAACAAACCTCAGGGATTCTATTTACGACCTTCGGATAGCTACAGAATTTGTTGCTCAAGCTGCCCTGGATATCACCAGGATCTTCTCCTGCACCATGGCCCTCTTGGTAGCAGCTAGGAGAGCTTTATGGTTGCGTTATTGGGGTGCGGATTCCTTTTCCAAGGCCAATTTATGTTCCATACCTTTTGAGGGTGAGCTTCTATTTGGAAAGACCCTAGAGGAATCCATTAAAAAAGCTGCTGAGGGGTGTAAGGTCTTTCTACCCCAGGAGAAAAGAACCAGAAGACCAAGCTCCTCTTGCGACCTTCGAGCGACCTCCGAGGGATCAATATTTTCAGGATGCTCGTAGCTACCGACCAGGTAGAGAGTTCAACAGGAGTAATAATTGGCGGGGGCCAATCATATGCTTCACATTCTTCCTGAGGTAGAAACCCTTCCTTTCGTGGAGGCAAGAACTTCTGACTATCCGTCAGAGGTCGGTGCTCAACTTTCCCTCTTCTGGAAGGTTTGGGCACAGGACATACAAGATGCCTGGGTCAAAGCTATAATTCAAAGAGGGTACAGATTGGAATTCCTCAGAAGACCCAGAAGCAACTTCTTCATTCCCACAGGTCTGCCCACGGACAAGGGCAGAAGCAGGGCTCTGGGAGCTTATGTTCAGAACCTCAGGTCCCAAAGGGTTATCGTTTCAGTGCCAGAAGAGGAACGATTCCAGGGGCACTATTCACCTCTGTTCTTAGTCCAGAAAGCCAAGGACAAGTGGAGACCTATCCTGGACCTCCGGAGGATCAACGGGAGACTTCTAATCAGATCCTTCAAGGTGGAGTCTATAAGATCCATCTCCCCAGCTATCTGGAAGGCAGATTGGCTCATATCCATCGACCTACGGGATGCCTATTATCACATCCCGATAGCCAAGGAGCATCATCGTTTTCTCCAGTTTGCTATAGGAGAAGACCACTTCCAATTCAGAGCACTTCCATTTGGTCTGAGCACAGCACCCAGAACCTTTTCAAAGGTATTGGTCATTCTTATAGAAAGGCTGAGGATTCAGGGAATCTCTTTGTTCCATTACCTGGACGACCTTCTGCTGGTAGCTCCAAACGTCCAGACGGCAGTGCTTCACAGAGAATTTGTGCTATCAGAACTTCATCGATTCAGCTGGTTAGTGAATCTACAAAAAAGCAGCCTCATTCCATCCCAGAAGATTACGTTTCTGGGGGTAACTTCGACACACTCCGGAACTCTATCTCCCTTTCACAGGAAAGGATACAGAGGATTTTAAGCTTCATCTACAAGATTCTGCACCTTCGTGTGATAACAGCAAGAACATACTCGCAACTGCTGGGCACTCTGACCTCTTCTATAGGACTAGTCAGGTGGGCCAGTGGCATCTCAGAGTTCCTCAGAGGTCGTTCCTGAACCAGTTCAACAGGCGGGTTATGGATTGGAATCAACCCTTGATGATCTCTCATATAGTCAAAATGGACCTGGTCTGGTGGCTAAGAAGGGTTAATTTGGAAAGAGGTTTTCCTTTGATAGAACCAGAGTGGGTCCTATTAACAACAGATTCCAGCGCTCATGGTTGGGGTGCCCACTGTCAGGACCGGATGACTCAAGGTCGATGGAACAAACAAACTTGAGGATCTCTCATATAGTCAAAATGGACCTGGTCTGGTGGCTAAGAAGGGTTAATTTGAAAAGAGGTTTTCCTTTGATAGAACCAGAGTGGGTCCTATTAACAACAGATTCCAGCGCTCATGGTTGGGGTGCCCACTGTCAGGACCGGATGACTAATGGTCGATGGAACAAACAGGAGTCGGTTCTTCCGGGGAATGTTTTGGAATTACGGGCCATCCACAGAGCTCTCATACACTTCAGGAGGATCCTGAAGAACACATGGATACGAGTCCAGTCCGACAACCAGGCGGCTGTGGCCTATGTTTCTCATCAAGGCGGTATTCGCAGCCAACTGTTGATGAAGGAACTGCGGCCCATCATGAGTTGGTGCCAGAAAAATGTTCAGGGTATCTCTGCAGTATACCTTCTGGGAATTCAGAATACCATGGCGGACTACCTGAGCCGCGTGACCATAGACAGGAGCGAGTGGCATCTAAGCCCCAAAGTATTTCAGGAGCTGTCTTTGATTTAGGGAACCCCAGAGATAGACCTCATGGCAACGACCGAGAATACCCAGGTCGAAGCCTTCTTCTCGAGACTGGTCGATCACAGAGCCAGGGGACAGGATGCTCTATCCCAACCTTGGAAGTTCACTCTGGCCTATGTGTTCCCTCCTATACCTCTCATATTCCCAACTCTGAAGAAGATTCAGAAGGAGAAGGTAGAGGTCATCGCCATCCTCCCGTTCTGGCCCCGGCGACCCTGGTTCCCTATGGCGAGACAGATGAATCGGGAACCTCCGAGGGTACTCCCGTTCCAGGCAGATTTACTATCACAGGGACCACTGCTACACCCAAACCCGCTAACCCTCAAGTTGAGGGCTTGGAGATTGAGCGGAAGCATGCTGGCATGCCTGACACAGTCATTAGAACTCTCCTGAGGTCTCGTAAGATATCCACTTCCTCCACATATGATAGGATTTGGCATACCTTTGTTTGCTGGGCACAAGAACACCAGGTGGTTATTAAACCTCTGGCATTATCTTCAGTGCTCTGTTTCCTTCAGGCTGGCCTGGACAAAGGCTTTAGCTACAACACTCTAAAACTCCAGGTATCAGCTCTATCCACTTTGTCAGGTACCCGATGGGCACTGGAACCATTGGTCATCCGTTTTCTTAAAGCGGCAATAAAGATCCGGCCTCCTCTGAAGGTATTTCTGCCAGCATGGGACCTACCTCTGGTCTTAAAGGCCATGACTAGGTCTCCCTTTGAACCACTTGACCAAGCTCCTTTGCTGGTACTCACTCAAAAGGTACTCCTATTGGTGGCAGTTACTTCCGCACGACGGATTTGTGAGCTCCAGGCATTATCCTGCGAAGCACCTTATATGAGGATACTTCAGGACCGTTTAGTCCTCAGACCAGTCCCGGAATTTTTACCTAAAGTAATATCTAAGTTCCACTTGAACCAGGAAATTGTTCTACCATCCTTCTATCCAAATCCCTCTTCTCCTGAAGAAGAAGTTTGGCACACTCTGGATGTGGTGCGAGCATTATCTATCTACCTGGAGAAGACCAGCCCCTTCCGCAGATCACCCAGACTATTTGTATTGCCTTTTGGCCACAGGCGGGGTGAAGCGGCCTCTACCTCTACATTGAGACAATGGGTGGTTTCGGCCATCTCATGTTCTTACAAATACTTATCACTGCCGGTTCCTACTGGAGTTAGAGCTCACTCTACTCGGGCTATCACTGCATCTTGGGCTTCTGTGGCAAATGCTTCTCCTGATGAGATTTGTAAGGCTGACACTTGGTCTTCAGTGAACACTTTCATCCGCCATTATAAGATGGATGTTAGAACCACAGTGGACTCTCATTTTGGTCACCAAGTCCTTAATTCAGTCTGCTCCTCTCGACGCTCGTAATATGTATATGTAGATTTAGCTGCATTAATAAAATAAACTTTGCATTCATTATGTCTCTTGTTTCCCTCCCTATGAGCTTGGGTAATCCCATGTGTATATGCTGCCATGATTAGCCAGGAAAGTGGAAAATGTATTCATATTTACCGTAATTTTCTTTTCCTGGCTATTATTCATGGCAGCATATACAGCCCGCCCTTATGTATCTAATTCTTCTGTAAGTGCTTGTTACTGACTGAGGGTCTCTTCTCTGGATCCTCCTTTTATAAGAATTTGTTTAAACCTGTCCTATTGGCTGTAAGGGAAGGAGCTAACCAATGTGTATATGCTGCCATGAATAATAGCCAGGAAAAGAAAATTACGGTAAGTATGAATACATTTTCCACTTTAGTTGTTTTTGAAATAAGTGTTCTTAATTATACTTTAATTTATGTACATCTCTATTGTATGGCTTGTGTACATAAGTGAGTGCATTATAAGGGTTGTATATAAGATATATTAATTTGTGTGCCCACCCCTCTACACACACACACGACTCTTTCTTATGTAATTGACAAAAATATCTGTTTTATTCAGTTCTTGAGAAATCTTAAGAAAATTGTAAAAAAAGAAAAAAAATTGCAAAGATTTAAACAAAAAAATAAGCTAGCAAGACTGAAAGCAGACTGAATCAAACTTCCTCCATATTATGGAATCAAAAGGTTTTTTTTAATCCACATTTAAGTCGACAAATATAATATGTTTTCTGCTTCAAGTGGTGGAAGGAATGTAGAGAGTGACCTGGTGCAAGATTTAGTTTTGGGCCCCTAAAGAGCACAGATGGCCAAAAGGTAAATCCTAAACTGCAGTACACATGTGTTTCTCTGGTTTACCAGAGAGAAGTAATCTTTGTGAGCAGACATTTGTGGTGGTCAACTAATAAAAAAATTAAAAATATATTTTTTTTATTTTAATATGTTGAAAAAAATTATTTTAAAAGCTTATTCAAAAATATAAAATCATTTGAAAAGCTTATCCACCAATAATGAATTGAGACTTTAATGCGTTTAAAATAAGTATCAGAAATTAGTCCAATCTATTTGAAAAAGATTTTCTAATGATTTATCTTCAGACGTCATCATTAAAGTGTAAAGGAATGTTTTAAGATACATAATTTGACACATTTAAAAAATAATAATTTTTATAACAGAATGGAATCATTTCTGATGTAAATTGAGACCAAGATTGGACACATGCCCTAGGGAGTTTATTGATTAAATCAATTTACAAGAAAGATTGCTTTGACCTTTATTTAATATTCTTTGATAAGCTTTCTAGATTATTCCACTCTGATAGAAATATGTTTAAATTAATTTGTCTGCAGAAGTCACTTTTAAAGTTTATCCAAAAATATCAAGTTGAGACCTATGAGTCTCAGTTTAGGATTCCCTTCTGGGTATGTTTTTTACCTATATTAACTAAATAACTAAATAAAGTTGATTTAAATTATACAAAATCTGTTTAAACCAACATGATCGATCACTTGAGCTTATATATATATATATATATATATATATATCCTACATAACTTGTGTGCAAGCAAAATAACATTGAGCAGTGTATGTTTTCCCTGTAGGAAATTAACTATGTCACTGTCACTAAGTGCATTAGTAATAGGGGATATAGCCCATAGTCGTTACTTTGTTAATCTAACTAGGATCTGTCAAAGCATAGCTAAGATAAACATAGGGGTGTTGATCTTCTCAAGGAATGTAGCCAAACTTTGTTTTTTGTTTTGTTTTAAGGCAGAATGACACAACATTGTTAAATTACTAGTGAAAATGTAGTATATTTATGATAAACATATACAAATATCATTGCTCTACAAACAAGTATTTAAAACACATTACTAGTCTTTGGTGTGTCTAAAAAAAGATAGAAAGTGGTTGACTACGATCCCTCTCCCTTAGAACCCTGCAAATAGAGAATTAACTTACCTGGAATCCTGCGTTGGGTGAAGCTCCCCAGTGCTGATCTCCATTCCCCCATCAACATCACCACTGCTCACTCATGGTCCAATCAAATGATTCTCATAGAGTAGCATTTTATTGGACTGCTATACCAGCTTGCATGCTCTCTGAGACTGGTAAGGGAACGAGGTTGGTGACCATGGACAGATGAGGCGGGGGGGGAATTAAAAAGGAAAAAAAACGTGTATTCAGTTACTATCGAGGCAGAGAGGCGAGAGGGAGTGCACGAAGAGAGGAGAAAGAAAAGATCAAGGCTTCCTTTTGCAGACAGGGCTGCAAGGGAGAAGCCCCTTATGTCTTTTGCCAGCTGTACAATTTTGCACAGAATTGAGACAGAGTTCCTAGCTGCCAAAGTCACGTGTGCTGGGGGTGTAACTAGCCCCCAGCATAAAAATGCAGATTACTCTTTATGTACAGGGTTTCAAGCAAAAACTCTGCACATACAGACTCCTACAATGACCACTTCTAAAAGCAGAAGCGGTCATGGTGGTTGGAGTAACGCTTTAAGTCATGAAGGGTTTTAATGTAAAACACAAACATTGAATTAAGTACTTATAAATTAGAGTTCTAGTTTCACAACCTGTATGCAATATTGCTGTATGTTACTGATTTTTTTCACCTATCATATACCTACTAGTACATGGATACCTAGTCTGGTAACTTCAAGACTGATTCCTTTTACCAGGTCCAGTCAAGTCAAACTCACAACGTTTTTCTGTCCTGTCTATTTTCAGTCCTTCAATGTATGACCGCATCATGTTGAATATTGCCCTGCTTAAACCTGTCCAGTCAAGTTCTTTTGTGTGTGTCCTTGGCAATGTCAGGATATCTTACTCTTTAAGTATTTCAAGTATTTAGAGTACGACCAGGGTGTGATCAGTAATATCTATTTTAGTGCATGTTCCAGTGTCTCCGCAAACATTAGTTTTGATTTACTCGGGCCTGCCATTTTTTTTTTCATTGGTATTGATCATTAGGAGAAATTCTAGCAGACGCAAAATAACAAGCGCTCACCTTGGATCTGTGAATGGCCGCTACAGGTAAATGCTTCATCTGTGTGTATACTATTGGAAATGCTCAAATATAACACCCATACTTTGCATCGCACAGAGTTACACTTTTAGGTAATCTCAGGAATCACACAGTGGTTAAAATGCCATATAAATAGTGGACCACCTGGGCCATTACTGAAACTCTTGTTCCATCTTATATTCTAGATGTGGTTTATACACATTTGGTGCATCGTTCTTGGCATTGCCAGCACCATTATTGCGGTCTCACATACATACTGTAATATTAATACTATTATTACTATTATTACTAATGATCTCAGCCTGTCAGCGGCCCCTTGCCTAGCCCTTCCTCATACTTCACAATAGCTGTGCACCAGAACCCCAACTTCAAGGTAAACTGGACATTACTTTATCCATAACAACTTAAATAAGGACCAAATTGCGTTACAACCAGGGGAGGTGTGGTTAAGACTGTATAACCAAAATTATGTAACTCCTAAATGGTAGATAATTGAGCAGTGAGACTGCATGGGGCATGATCTATAGATCAAAATCACAATAAGTATAGTTGTTTCGGTACTTAGAGTGTCTGTTTCTGTTATGAAAGTGTTCCGTTAACTAACCACACACAGAGATATATATTTCTAGTCTGAAAAACCCACTCCAGTAATACAAACCACCCAATAATCGGTACAGGAGAATTGAGATGAGATGGGGCACAGAGAGGACGTCAACAGTGACATGACCCATGTCACTAGCGACGCCAATAACTAGCTGGCCCATCCGGAAATGCTGCCTGGCTAGACCCCCAGCCTTCAGACCCATGTCACTAGCATACAGGAAGTGCTGTTGAAGCACTTTGTGCTTGTCTCTAGTGCCTGCTGCACGGCATGAGTGCATCTAATACATGAGTACATAATACTGTACGTGAGTTCAGAGAGGTAGTTACGTGCATAAGTATTTAAACCAGTAGTTCCCAAACTTTTTAGGTTCAAGGCGCCCTTAATATTTCAATATATTTCCAAGGCACCCCAAAAAATGTCTAGGTTGTATACATGTACAGCACTGCAGCATATACTGGGCCCCAGTAAAATCCAGGCACAATAACCACTACAGCTCGCTGTGGTGGTTATAGTGCCATGGTGCCCTCCCAGGGTAAGTAGTCAAACTGTTTAAGAACAGTTTCACAACTTACCTGTGGTCTGCCAGGATAGGGGCTGTAATAGGGAATAGGGGCATTGGTGTGTGTGTGTGAGGGGCGCAATGTATGCATGTGTGTGTGAGGAGTGCAATGTGTGTGGGGTTAAGTGTGTGTGTTTACGGGGGTGCATTGTGTTTGTGAAGGATGTAGTGTGTGAGGTGTGCATTGTGTCTGTGTGTTTGAAGGCTGCAGTGTGTGAGGGATACAGTGTGTGCGTGAGGGGCATAGTGTGTGTATTGAGGGGCACATGTGTGTGTGGGAGGGCAGAGTGTGTTTCAGGGGCACAGTGTGTGTGGGTGGGGCAGTGTGAGTATATATGGGAGCAGTGTGTGTGTATGGGGGGGTCAGTGTATGTATAGGGGAGAAGTATCACTGATCTCCACTCCGGTCCTGCAGAGCCGGCAGGGGAGAGGGAGGCACAGTTACCATTGCTATGATCATTTGGTCATAGCACCGGGAAAATATTTTGTGGCATCCCTGTGTGCCCTGGGGGGCAGTGTGTCTGATAGGGGGCAGTGTGTGTGAGGGGTACCGTGTGTGTAAGGGGTTCAGTGTGTCTGTATAGGGAGTTGTGTGTGAGGGTCTGGAGGCAGTGTGTGTGTATAGGGAGCAGTGTGTGTGTATATGGAACAGTGTGTGTATAGGGGGCAGTGAGTGTGTATGGAGGCAGTGTGTGTGTGTGTGTATGGGGGCAGTGTGTGTGTATGGGGGCAGCATGTGTATATATGGGAGCAGTGTGTGTGTATGGGGGGGGCAGTGTGTGTATAGGGGAGAAGAATCACTGATATCCCCTCCGGTCCTGCAGAGCCAGTGTCTGCCATGGTATGTGTGTGTGTCTGTCTGTCTGTGTCATGGAGTGTGTGTCTGTCCGTCATGGTGTGTGTGTCTGTCTGCGTCATGGTCTGTCTGTGTGTCTGTCATGGTGTGTGTGTGTGTGTGTGTCATGGTGTGTGTGGGAGGGCAGAGTGTGTTTCAGGGGCACAGTGTGTATGGATGGGGCAGTGTGTGAGGGGCAGTGTGAGTATATATGGGAGCAGTGTGTGTGTATGGGGGGGTCAGTGTATGTATAATGGAGAAGTATCACTGATCTCCACTCTGGTTCTGCAGAGCCGGCAGGGGAGAGGGAGGCACAGTTACCATTGCTATGATCATTTGGTCATAGCACCGGGAAAATATTTTGTGGCATCCCTGTGTGCACTGGGGGGCAGTGTGTCTGACGGGGGCAGTGTGTGTGAGGGGTACCGTGTGTGTAAGGGGTTCAGTGTGTCTGTATAGGGAGTTGTGTGTGAGGGTCTGGAGGCAGTGTGTGTGTATAGGGAGCAGTGTGTGTATATATGGAACAGTGTGTGTATAGGGGACAGTGTGTGTATGGGGCAGTGAGTGTGTATGGAGGCAGTGTGTGTGTGTATGGGGGCAGTGTGTGTGCATGGGGGCAGCATGTGTATATATGGGAGCAGTGTGTGTGTATGGGGTCGGTGTGTGTATAGGGGAGAAGAATCACTGATATCCCCTCCGGTCCTGCAGAGCCAGTGTCTGCCATGGTATGTGTGTGTGTCTGTCTGTCTGTATCATGGTGTGTGTGTCTGTCCGTCATGGTGTGTGTGTCTGTCTGCGTCATGGTCTGTCTGTGTGTCTGTCATGGTGTGTGTGTGTGTGTGTGTGTGTCATGGAGTGTGTGTCTGTCATGGTATATGTGTGTTTCTGTGTCTGTCATGGTGTATGTGTGTGTTTAAAAATAGTGTTTTTACTCACATTTTTTTTCCCACGACGTGCTGGTCTCTCCTCGACTGGCCCTGCCTCTATGGCTGAGATCATCAAGCTTGATGATCTCAGCCAATCCAATGCTTTGCCATATGATTGGCTGCAAAAAGCTATACCAATCAGCATCTCCTCATAGAGATGCATTGAATCAATGTATCTCTATAGGGAATGTTCAGCGCCTCCAGAGTGTGGAGGTCCTTAATGTATAAACACAGGAAGTACCTCTAGTGACCGTCTGAGTGACTGTCACTAGAGGTGCCACTTTGAAGCAATGCAAACACTGCCTTTTCTCTGAAAGGTCAGTGTTTACATTGAAAAGCCTGCAGGGACAGGCTATAGACACCAGTACCACTACATTAAACTGTGTGTGTTCCTGCTAGTGTGTGAGCTTGTGTTTTTATGTCAATGAGATTATGTATATCAGTGAGATTGTTTGTTTATGAGGCTGTGTATCAATGAGCTTGTGTGTGTCAGGGAGAGCCTTACATATTACATGCGACAATATATGGCGCAATGATTTATGGGGCTGGCATACATTTTTTTTTTTTCAGGGCTGCTTTGTATCCCCAGTCCGGCCCTGCTGGGTTATCTGAATCACATCTCTACCTAATCCCAATAGTGTCATAGTGCTGCTTTTATAAATAAATGTGACATAAACATGTGCTAATTTAACTTAAACATTATTCAACAAAACAGAACAAAATATTACAATTGTGAGGTGCACCTCAGTGATGTTTTTTCTGTAATTCAAATGTATTCAAAATTTGAATTTTTAAGGCAAATTCTCAGAATAAAAACTGTTAAATTATAATGGACAATATATATTAGTGTACACAAAAACAAGACATTGTCATGTATATTTTAAGTAGTATTTCTAGCTTTAACAATCAGCCTGCCAATGCCCACAGGCAAACATGCCAATGAGTTTTATTTATTTTTTTCATTTTATAACTAAAGAGATTAAAAGAAAAAGGAAGGTAGAGTGAGAGAGAATACACTTTAGCTTTAGGTAGTGTAATTATATTAATAATGCAGTGGCATCAATGATGTATTGACTTCCCCCTACTCCACCTCCTCTCGCAGGCGGGAAACTTAACTCAGTGAGAGAAGACAGAACGCTCACACAGAACCTACTACAGACACAAGGTAAAGTAATGACCTTGTTAGTTCTTTTTCTTCTTCTATTTATACATTCTAGGTGTATGTTTCTGACTCTGATAAACAGTCTACCTGTGTAAGGCACATTTTGCATCATGCATATCCTCTCCCCCGTCCGCACCTCTTGTTCAAAAGGTTAATCAATTAATATATATTTATATATAGTTTGTACTTATGATTTTATACTACTTATTAATCCCCTGGTGCCTGTAGGCTAGAGGTATATCTAAGCGCACATCACCCCCTCCCTTTCCCCAGTGTACTGAAATCAGCTGAGGCACTTAAACAGATCAATTCTATTCATATTTATTGTCTGTATACGTCACCTTTCGCTAATTGTATTTTTTGGAAAGTAGTTTAACCATATTAGTCTTCTCTCCTGGCCCCCTTCCTCCTCCATTGTTCCTTATCTGCTCCTCACACATTGATTGACTCCCCCACCCCCTCCCCATTTATCACTGATTTTTGCCTGACCATCTGTTAAGATATGCCTCCTAGTAATATAATAACTCAGTGACCATGAAACTGTTACTTTGTGTGTTTATGTGAGGTAAAATTGGCCGCGCCAGTCTTTGTGCTTCCCCCTTGCCCCGTTTTCTCCCGCCTTAATGACAACCCGGTCCTGGGCGGCACCTGTCCTTGTCCCGCGCTAACGAGACTGCCATGGGAAGCAATGAGTTCCGTATAGGGCAAATATTCATAGTGACTTTTTACTTCAGACATTTCCAGTCAGGTTACAGCACTTGGGAAATTATTATTAATAATATATTTATTTTAGCAAGCTTTCTGTCCACTTCTAATCATGAATACCGTAGCCCTGCTTGCCAAACCTGGACCTAATTTTTTAATTCATTACATTATTTATATGGCATACTTACCTATTTGAATGTGCCCCACCACTACGCATATGTCTAAATTACAATCCCTAGATCTATGGATGGGTTGAGCATCATGAGAATTAGCAGGGTCTACAGATGTTTGGGAACTTCAATTCCCATGCACAGTATCCCTTGATTTTGTTGCTGGCATCTGACTTTATGTATTTATTTTATTTAGTGTTTTATATTCTCTATTCAAATGTAATATTTTATTAATAAAACCAAGCTACTTCTATAAGTGCTGTTTTGTCTTTTTAAGTCTGCCCAGCTCTCTGTTGCACAATAGCACAAAAAGTTCAGACTCAACAGTTTTCAGTGTGTCAGGTCAAAATTTGAAAGGAGAAAGGGAGCATGTTTTTAAATTGGAATTAATATTAGTTTTGGTGTTTTGTTTTTCTAAAAACATTTTTTATTACTTAAATAGCATGCCAAGTTGACTTGACACAACTGTATTATAGTATGTATATTTATTTTGTATGGTTCTATGTACAGCGCTATGGAATTTGTTGGCGCTATATAAATAATAAAATAATATGTAAGGATTGACCTGGAGTACAGCATTCCTCTGTTGATGCCCACAACATTTGGAGTGCCTGGAGCATCTTTCTGTGTACCTGAGATGGTCTATTCAACTTACTTAAGTTCTTGAATAACATTTACTGGTGTGAGGGAACAAGGAACTGACATGTCCAGAAAAGTGGGAATTAACTGATTTCCATAGATCACAAGCACATTCTATGTACAAAGCAGTCCTAGTCATGTAAATAAACCCAACAGCATATTGAAAATTCTGGCTGCAGTGGCTCCTTTACAAATGACTTTATCATTGAATCAGCAGGGGTGTGGGTGGGGAGTAGGAGGGGAAAGCATTCTTAAAAGCACATGTCTGTATAGAAACTTCATTCATTGAGGCTGCTGAACTGCTGGTGAGTCTTATACTCATATAATGTTAAATATGTTTTCCTATTTTATTGTCTTAGTATAGCTGATAGATCCCATCCTTTATTTCTTACCCTATGATCTCTTTGTCCTGTTTAGAGTACAGTATGTTGGTTTTGTACAGTATGTTGGTTTTGTTTTGTTTTTTATGCGTTTTATAACACCAGCTACATTTTGTTCACAATCTGAAGTACTCTGCATTCCTTCAAGGTTTTTCACTAAAGTGAGAAGTCATATTGAATTTAAATTTAAGCCCAAAATAGCCAAAATTGAGAAATTCTCTAAGTCATCTATGCTTCCAGTTCAGCTACGTTTGCCTTAAATTTGAAATTCACTTTTGAATTCTCACTGAATAACCAAGCGTGCCATTTACTCTATTTATATCCACATCTGCATTTACTCTCTCCCCCTTCATTCCCTCGTCTTCAATTTATTTTTTGCTTTCTCCGTCTGTTGCTGTCATGCATACATTTACATAAGTCTATTCTCGTTTCTCTCCTATTTTAGTTCTATATTTACTTCTTTTTCAATTAATGTAACATTGATTTCACGTTTCCCTTCCCTCTCGCCTTCCTGGTGCTGTGTTGAAAGATTTCTATCATGAATTCTTTCCGTTCCTGAAATATAGAATTCATCTGTACACATGCTTGAGCTGCCATCTTCCTTACTGTGAAACACGTGTTCAGAGAAAACATATAAGGCAGGCATTCATTAAACCATGAATATGACTGAAAATTAACGAATGCCGCTTAATACTCTTTTTTTTTTTTTTTTTTTCAAACAACTGATATTATTTTGACTTTATTTCTTCACATATAATTTATTTTAGATAGTTTCCTGTACAATTATTTAATATAACGCTAGGCAGATCTGGACAAATCCAGGAACTAGGTTACCATGGTTCATAAACATTTACACATGCCTGTATGTACCACGTTATATCGATCTACATAGCTTTATAATCGTATCCTTGTTTCTAAAATTATTTGACTGTTTCCTGTGTTCTCGACAATCAGTATTCTAAAATACTCTTATTTTTATTTCATCTCTTAAAACCATCCCAAAATACGTTTTTATTTTTAGTCCATCTCCAAACCAATGTACTTTATTTCTCTCTTTGTCTTTCTCTATCCACTGTCTTCTCTCATACTTTCAGTGCTATGTGAAATTCCTTGAAAAACTGTTTTAATATGAGTAAATTAATTGGAGTGACATACGTAACATGCACTGACATTGATGCTTTGCATGAGGGTGTCCAGCGTCTTCCAATCCCCTATAGGAAAGCACTGAGTCAGTGCTTTCCTATGGTAAGGACTAATACTCGCGCAGTGTATACAGTGCATGCACATAAAGTTCCCTTTATCGCTGACGTTTGAGGAGGCAGAGAGCAATACAGCGCAGAGGGCAGGGAACTGGAATAAGATAAGTGTTAAAAGGGTTACTTAACCATTTATTTTCCAGGTAAGGGGGTGCCCAAGGGAGAAGGGACACTGTAGTATTAGGAATACAGTTTTGTATTCCTAGCGCTATAATGTTCCTTTAAGTAACCTTATACTTCAGTATGATTACTGTACTTCCAGAGAAGTGACAGTTCCTTGTTCTTTTACTCCAGTAAATGCTATTGCAGTGTTTTCATCACGCATGTGTACTGGATACCTTCATCAGCAGTGTCATGTGTGCTGCCTGTACGGCACGGCAAGTGTTATCTCATCTAATATTTTGCCTGCCAATAGGAAATAAAGTAATCTGTAAGGGATAAAAAAAAACAACAAAAAAAAAAAACACTCATACAACCAATAGTTAACTTTTAGTTTTGTGACAGTTTCTCTTTATTTGTGTCCAGTAAAATAAGTCTTGAGTTACACACCATAGGACTTGCATCTATTCCATGTGTTTACACTACAGCACGCAGTATAGTTCATACACCTAGCAGCACATTTTGAATGGGAAATGCTGTAAGGGAAAAGCCTTTTAGGTGACTCACTTATTACTCAGACTATGCAAAACTGTTATGTTTTCACAGGGAGTAGTCATCTGAGTCTATTAACCCATTTGGGGTTTTTTTGTTTATGGTTTTTTCAAAGAACACTATAGAGTTAGGAATACAGGTGTGTGTACATTTATAATGCTATAGTGACCTAATGGCTGTCTAGGTCCCGGCCCCACATGTAATTCAAAGTAAAATTTCTTTATTTTGTAGTTTATTAAATGTAATGTGTGAAGACATTTCTGTTTAGTTTGTTTAAAGGAATAGTCAAAGCACCAGAAGCTGTTTCGATGTATATCGTGTATAGATGCACTGGCTGGGTCACTGCTTAATTTTTTGTCATTTAGGAGTTAAATTACTTTGTTTGTGCAATTTGAGCCACACCCCCTCTTTTGTGACTCACTTCATCCGTGAACAAAAAAAAGCTTTTATTATGGATTGGTTGATCTCCACGGAAGCAGGGCCAGCCGTGGAGTTGAGAAAATAGTGAGTAAAAACACCTTTCTCTTGTGATGGGCAGTCACCCAAATAGTTAATTTAAAGGGATACTACTGTCACCAGAACAACTACAGCTTATTGAATTTGTTCTGGTGAGTAGAATCATTCCCTTCAGGCGTTTTGCTTTAAACACTGTATTTTCAAAGAAACTGCATTGTTTACATTACAGACTAGTGATAACTCCACTGGCCACTCCTTAGATTGCTGCTAGTGGTGCTTCCGGGGCAGTGCGGCACAGGGAGCAGCACTGCCATTCAGTGTCTCCACCCTCTGCGTGCAGACACTGAACTTTCCTCATAGAGATGCATTGATTCAATTAATCTCTATGAGGAGATGCTGATTGGCCAGGGCTGTGTTTGTCTTGTGCTGGCTCTGCCCCTGATCTGCCTCCTTGACAGTCTCAGCCAATCCTATGTTGAAGTATTTTGATTGGCTCAGACCACCACTTCTGATGATGTTGGCAGACACAGCCAGCAGCTTCAGACTTGAACACAAGTAAGATTTTACTAAATTTAGGGAGGCTAGAAGGGGGAAGGGGAATTTTAAAATACCAATACTCACACACACTCGATGACTGACACACGCATACACAGACAAATACACACTGATTGAGAGACACACACACATTCTCTCATACACTCACAAATTATTTTTTATTTTTTTTCAAATTGCAGCCTCCCTACTTTTGAGAAGTAAAAAAAAAAAAAAAAACACTAAAAAAAGTCATATGAGTTCCAAATGTTAATTGCATATGTTTGGTATCTAAATGATTTTTTTCATTGTTAACACACTATACTAACCATAGATATACCCCTATACTTATATTTATACTAACTCTAACTTTATAACTACCCTAACAATATCCATGCACTATCTGTAACTCTTACCTTACCCTACCCCTAAACCTAACACTACACATAACCCTAAAGGATTCCTTATGCAAATGTTAACACTGCAATCTGCAGGGGGATTACCTAACTAAAACAGTGGAGAGAGGTCTGTGATTGCCATCTACTGGCTATTTACAGCAGGAGAGGGAGGTATCTCCCTCATTCGGCAGCTCCTGCTGGGTTCTTTTGCCAATCACACTGTGATCAGTGCCAGGCAGCTGGCAAACCCCAGCACTGATGACATTCTGCAGGTGGACATGCAGGGAGGCCCTGTCTTTTCAGGCCCAGTGGGGCAGTGTATAGCCTCAAAATCACTACAGCTAAGCACAATTGTTTATCCTTGAAGACTTAATGGGCTGTGCTCACTTTCAGCCCTGTGTAAAGTTCATGGGTCAGTCGGGCCACTAATTATGGCCTTGCACATTACAGATTGTTCTGAGCTATGAGATTGCAGCATGAAATATAGTTCTCTGTCTCATCCTGCAGCTCCTGCATCGGTGCTGGGCAACCTGCACAGCCCAGCACTGATCACTGTCTGCAGGGGTCATGGAGGTAGAACCAATAAGATTATTTTCAGACCCCATTGAGCTCCTTCTGTCTGAGCCCTTCAGGATACCACAATAATCACAGCAGCAAGATGTATTTGTTCAGCTGCAGTAGTTTAGAGAGATCTAAAGGGATATGTGCAGCACTCAGATATCTTTTTCAGAAACTGTGAGAGTCACAGCAGGGAGGTGTGGCTAGAGTTGCATAAACAAAGTGATTGAGCTTCTAAATTGCAGAGAATTGAGCAGTGAAACTACAAGTCCATAATCTATGCACCAAAACCACTTCATTAAGCTAAAGATTTTTTTGTCACTTAGAGTGTCCCTTTGATGTTAACATTTATTAGTTTAAAGGACCACTATAGTGCCAGGAAAACATACTCGTTTTCCTGGCACTATAGTGCCCTGAGGGTGCCCCCACCCTCAGGGATCCCCTCCCTCTGGGCTGGATGGAGAGGAAGGGGTTAAACTTACCTCTTTCTCCAGCGCCGGGCAGGGAGCTCTCCTCCTCTTTGGCTGAATGCGCATGTGCGTCAGGAGCTGCGCGCACATTCAGCCAGTCCATAGCAAAGCATTCACAATTCTTTCCTATGAGCCCTGGCGTCTTCTCACTGTGAAAATCACAGTGAGAAACGCGGAAGCCCTCTAGCGGCTGTCAATGAGACAGCCACTAGAGGATGGATTAACCCTAAAGTAAACATACTTATTTTAAAAAAGGGTTAACCCTAGCTGGACCAGGCACTCAGACCACTTCATTAAGCTGAAGTGGTCTGGGTGCCTATAGTGGTCCTTTAATAGATATGTTTTTGCTCTTAGTTTTCAAACTTCCCTTTCCCCACTCCATAAGCTCACACATACTCACACTTCTTAGTATGCCTGTGTATGTTGGGTGGATAACTACAAATAAAGGAACAGAATCAGCTGTTTGCGTTACATGGTTTTGCTTGCTAAGCAAAATAGACACTTAGGAGGAGATTTCTCAAAATGTTCCAAGAGTGGTCTAAACTACTAGAAATTGGGCAATTGGCATGGAATTGAATGGGACCAGTAGGCACATATCATTTTTTACTCTTCCCCTTGCATTTTCAAATAACTCTTGAGAACATTTAAAATTATGCCCTCGTTTATTGAGGAAAAGAGATGATTAGTCACCTGAGAGAGCTGCGTACATTACTTGGGGGAGTGCAGATACTGTTCTTTGTAACATGGGTACGAGAACCTTTGCATAGTTTTATTTCTAAATAAAGGTGTTATTGTGCGTATTGTGTAAATCACACACTGACAAGAAGCCTGTAATTGTGTTTTTTACATCAAATTAGTGGTGGGTTAGTTGTAAATTAAATGATCTGAATAAACTAAGGAAAATTAAATGAGTGTTCTTTTCATACTTAATTTTACACAAAAACAATGGATCCTTTGTGTAAATGTGTGCCAAAATGGACAAATGCATTCCACTTTGTTATTCAAAGTTTCTTTGAGTTGTTAACACTAATGACTGTATTTTGGCATTGCAGCTGCCCTGGATACTTGTTTATCTGTAAATCTGTCTATTCATCATACCACAAACATAATAAAATACAAAATGTTATTTGAGGACAACTATACCTTGATGTATGCTAGTCTTCTGAATGGTTGAACATCAAGAGGAACATAGTCTAAAATACAGTTGTATAATACCCATACCTATCTGTTTCTGTCTCTGTGTTGTTAATTTAATTTCTCTTTTTCCACAGTTAAATTTAATTAATAAACCCACGTACATTATGTGTATTTGGTGCTGTTGTTTTTACTGTATGCATATGAATGAAAGCATTAGGGTGCAACGATTGTCTTTGGTTAAAAATATATGTTTTAGTGCACTTACATTGGGCTTATTGAGTGTGGAAAATGGTTTAGATGTTATTTGATTAAACACATTTCTATAAGCATACTCATCTAGCTTAAATGACATGCTTTTAAATATTTAATTAAAGATTTAGAAGCATTGTCTTACAATCAGTGAGTTGTCTTATTTGTGCAGTGCTGACTAAAGTGTGATGTGTTGGGGAGGGGGATGTAACTAGAAACTAAATTGAGGAGGGGGTGGACAAAAAGCTAGTAAGTGGACAGTGAGAAAAGTTTGGGAAGAGTGCAGTAGTATGATAGATAGCTAGAGAGGCAGGCCATAAGAAAGGAGAGAACAGGAATAGTTAGAATATGATATACGAAAGGAGTGTGGCAGATAAACAATTCTGAAGTAGTAGAAGCAGCTGAGATATAAATAATAAATGGGGAGGAGGAGCTGGTATAAGCTCAGCCTATTAATGTCTTTGCCAGGCTTTTGGAAATATCCACGTGACAGCCTTTTCTCTGCTCCTGACAGTCTCCGAAGGATTATAGACCTGAGCCCAGAGAGCTACAGTACAATTTCCAGGATGTCTCGGAAAGATGAACCTAACGACAAGTGAGTGTGCCACTGTTTTATAGTCATCAGTCTTTTATCTTATTAGTGTTTTTCTTAACCTCTCCTTCTCTGTATTCTCTTCACTGCATGCAGCTTACCTAGTTTTATCTTTCCCTTTCATAGCTGGCTCCCTGTTCCCATCACTAGATTTGCTAATCCTATTCAGTATGTTTCTCTCCCTTTAAACATTCCCCCACCCCTTCCCATTCCATTTGTTTTCTTTAACCTTTCTGCCTCCATAGCTAAAGGCATTCTGTCTCAGGGGGCAAGGGACTGCTTCCGGATAAACCTGTTTTATCAGTCACTCTAAAATGGAAGTTTCCTTCCGTTTAATTAATGATTGTCTCCTTAATTTTACAGTTTAATGTTTACTCTCCAAAAAGAGAGCAACCCATAATTCCCTTTTGTGCCCTCTGTGTTGCCGTACTATAGAATGCATTGACTTGTGTCTATATGTATACCATGGAAGAGGATGATGACAAGACAGTTATAATGTTTGCAATGTTATTCTGGTTAAGTCCATTGCAGCTCTTGTGTAACTGTTATTTTTGTTTCATAGATACCATATGGTTGCGGTCATATTCTTCATCTTGGGCATGGGGACACTGCTGCCCTGGAACTTTTTCATCACTGCAATTCCTGTAAGTGGCTTAATCATAATTATGTACATTATGTGAAAAATAATAGGTCGCTATATGTGCTTTCTACAGACCCTTGAAATGAATAATACAAACTGCTGTATATGTATTGATAGGAATTGTCATTGCAAGTTTAAAAAAGAAAATAAGCTGTGATTGTTAGTGCCCTTTACAGGGTGGTTTTGCCTCCCTAATGCCACCTCCATATATCCAATTTGTGACATCAACTAAGTTGACATGTAAGACAGCAGTTCCTGCAATTACATAATTTTTTAGCAATTTGATATGGTATTCCATAAACATAAGGAAAACATAGCTGTACTCTGATAAAACATCGTTATGTACTAAGCGTTCAGTTATATTTAATTAATTGTGTTTATATTGCTCGTAGCTTGATCTCACTAAAGTAAATATGGGAATACAATTTTGATGGAAAAAATGCAATATAGAAAGACAGATTAAAAATAATTAAATAAAAGGTCTGTTCATAAAGTATGATATTGGAATGTTCATTTACATCACCAATGGCAGACTAACTGCAAACTATGGGCTGACTATTTTTGCCTACATATTGCAAGCTGGTTGCCATCACCCTGAATAGTTAATTAATATATTATGTTTATAGGAGTAGGAAAGAGTAAACATTTTTGAAGGGTCAGTGCACAAGTTTTTATCTTTCAAAATAGCCTTTAACTCCTTCATGACAAGGGATTGAACATGCCATTATATCGAGTCCTGGCATGTAATCTTTTCTGAATGGGCTAGTAGCATATATCTAGGTTCTAAAACTAGTGAGATTTACCTTTCTTAATTCTCTGTAAGCATGAACACACTTGGGTTGTTAGTACCCTATTTTTTTGTCTTCTAATGAACATGTATACAGAAAGATCACAAGTTCTGCATTAACACCCTATAATTATGCAGTAATCCAGAATGCAGAACAAGTATTTTAATTACCTGTTTTTTTCTTTGTCGTATTTGGTTTGTACCCACACATTAGTTAAATGTTGATATAAATAGACACAGACAAGTACTGGAAGTCTCAATGCTGTAAACGTTAGACCCATTATGATGAGCATACCGCATTAGTTTACATTCTCAGACCTGCCATTCGTTGTCTTTAACTGCACTGTGTTTTGGATTAATAATTTCTATCATGTATAAGAAATTTCTTTTGATGAGATGGTTGTTTCTGCCCTCTCTTTTCTCACTTACTAATGCGTATTGTAAATGCTAGTATTTTCAGTTTCGCCTGAACCCTGAGGATCCTGCTGGGAACTATTCAGATTTGCATGTCAATGAAACTTCTGCAGAAAATATCCACTCTTCTGGAGATGCTTTTAATTTCAACAACTGGCTGACGCTTCTGGCACAGCTCCCCTTACTTCTCTGTACACTTCTCAACTCATTCCTTTATCAATGGTGAGACACACTCTGGCATAGCCTAATCTCCTGGCCAGCAGTACATTTCAATCTTTATCATTCTGTTGTCAAATGTGTTATTGAAAAGGAATGAGAGGGATAAAGAAACGTCAGTAACTAGGTACCTGAAAGGGAAAAAAAATGCATAGGATACATTGTGAGAGGTTGAAAGTCTGTGTTTTGTGAACTCCACTACAGTTTGGTGTTTAGTGAATTAAACCCTAAGTCTATTAGAGTTATTCACTTCAGTGTGCCTTGGCAGCACTTCAAAGTGAACTTCAGATTTTCGGGTAAAAGAGCCTAACTAGATAAATTCTCCTAGTCAGTTACGTTTTCAGTTTGACTTTTTTTGGCCGAAAATTTTAAATTCCTCAGTTCGTTGAATTCCTAACATTTCACATTTTGAGAGTGGTGGAGGGTAAGTGAATGAGAAACTAAATGAATGAGAAGAGGCAGGAGGATTGAGGAAATTATAGAAGAACAACAAATTGAGTATAGTTTTAATGGATGAAATAAGCAAGTGAGTTAAAATTTGGGGCATTTAAGGAACAGTCTTATTATTTGCCTCTTTCATATACATGATTTAATAAAGTCACATTTGTATTCATTTCCATTTTTGCATAGTTGCTGCAAGGCATTCATGACCTTGGGGCCACAGATGTTTGTGAACTGTATTTCCAATGATGCTTAGAAGCTGTTGCAAAATGTAGTTCATTTGCAAAGCTAAAATTAGCTATCACTCTGTGCCCCAATTTTTACCGCACATTCAGAGCATTTTCTTGATGTTTTTGCTTCTGCATCATTTTTCCATAGTGTTTCAGTGTTATTTATGATGTCCGGAATGAAGCAACAGGATTATTTACTAAAAAATAAATAGTTAGAAATGAACCAATAAACTGCATATTTTAGGCCAATAATTTTCCAATGCAGGTGTATTTTCAGTTTTGCTAATTTGTCTTAAAGGTTACTATTCTCTGATGAATTCCTGACAATCCCCAGTTAAGTGAATATATTTGCAGAGTTTAAATGATTTAGTTGTTTCTTCTTCCTTGTTTAATAGTTGTTCAACTAGTTGAACCTTTACTTATTGTATACTGTTAGATAATCTGCATTTGTGAGCAAGTCTCTTTTGTTCCCTCCTCCACAGTATACCAGAGAGAGTCCGAATTGTAGGCAGCATGGTATCAATCCTTTTCCTCTTTATTGTCACTGCTGTCCTGGTTACAATTGAAATGAGCGCACAGAGCTTCTTTGACATCACAATGGCTACTGTTTGGTTTATCAATGGTAACGAGTTTTCTCATAATTATTTTTACAATATAGATTCTCTTCTGTTACTATGTTTCAACATATTCTTAGTGTGATGAAGGCCACAATGACTTCAGACTTGAATATGAGGATGAAAAGAACCATCTAACAACCAGCATGATTTTGCATTCTATAGTTTTTGTTTAAAATAATTTGCTGTATTTTTGCATGCTCAATTTTATATAGCCTTTGCAAAACATTTTTTTGCTTGTTTCTTTACCTCGGGACATTATTCTTTAATCTACTGTAGACCTTGCCGACTAAAATTAAAACAATTCAGGTGACTAAAACTAAATGGCATTTTAGTCAAAAGACTTTGTCTAAAACTAAATCAAAATTAGCTGTGAAAATTAACACTGTACTGCACATTATGAATATTGAAAATTATGTGCTAGACACAGCCCCTTTTCATTTCATAGAGCTATATATGTTTTTTTTCTCTACTACATAAAATAACAGTATTTTAACATTGTAGGCTCTCAAAATCTGCAGTATTTGTTTCTGTCTTGTAATACGATTTACATAATATGTGTCTTTGATTGTACTATAGCAATGAACCTTATTTTTTCCCCTTTTTACTTCCCTTTCCAGCATTCTGTGCTATATTACAGGGTAGCCTGTTTGGTCTGTTGGCTCTATTCCCGCAGAAATACAGCAGTATGTTGCTAAGCGGTCAGGGAATGGCTGGAATGTTTGCTGCTGTGGCTATGCTACTGTCAATGTCCAGTGAGTATATCAGTATTTAAGTTCTTTTTTTCCCCATTACTTCTCTACATTTCACTTGATTGCTTTATATCGTTTTGCTTTCTCAAACCTTAACATGATGCATTTATATACACATTGAGGACGGTAAACATATATTTGTCTGTATACCTTTAGTTTTCTTTATGTGACAGAAATCTAGATCTGTTTTGTGAGACTGGCCATTTACTTTATTTGTACATCTTACTTTTTTTAATTAATGTAAATGGATAAAACTAAAGTTGTGCCTTAGCCTATTAGTAAAGTTGCCAAGAACATTGCTTCATGGCTCCCTCCCCTTTACATGACCATAAATCTGTAAACGTGTGTGAAGCAGAATGATTTAGCTATCTTACAGAATTTACCCGTTTATGGCCTGCTTGCTGATGTTGTGTTTTCAAAATACATTTTGTTTGATTTATGCAACACCATGAACATGTTTTGATAATGGTTTCCTCAGCAAGGACATTTGAAGTGAAAGTATATCCCCATCCCTATTTAAAAGGTCAATGAAGGCCCCATAGCCACTACATGTAGATTTAGTGGTTATGGTACAATTAGGATGCAGACACTGTCGCTTGTTTCTAGAATATACAATTTTCGAGTCACTGAGGATTGTGCAGCCTAGCCCCCATGTTGCTAATTTAAAAGTTAAAGTTCTGCATTAGCAATATCAATTTTATCCGTATATTATACCCATATTCATTGCTTGAAGCAGCTTTCTAATGCTGAGAAAACTGATAATGTTAATGCTGAAGTGGAATTTCTGCATTAATTATTTGAGCAAAAAAATGAGTGATTTATTGCAGCAGCTTTGTATAGGCAATCTTAGAATTGAGAGAGAGAGAACAGATACATTTTCTTTACATAAAGCCGACATAAAGTGTTAACCTGTTATGGGAAGCAAGTCTATGCTTCCCAAACCGGGGTATTCAGGAGAGGTGTGTCTTACAGGAAGTGTAACACCCACTGAAAACATGATTCATATTCTGAGCAGAAAGTAACGGTGATGGAATAAATTTTAAATATGAGCTTTTAATAGTATTTAGGGAAGAAACACTTAAGTATATAACATGAGTCAAGCCAGATGGTTAGAAAACTGATATCTGTCATAAGAGCTTCATTTTAATTTATGGGGAAGAGACCTTATACAATCTTATTTTGGGGTAACCATGGCTGCATCAAATATAGGAAATAGCCGGGGGGGGAAATAACAGTATGTGTGTGTATATATATATATATATATATATATATACACACATATACACAGATTTTCAGATTGATTTTAATTTTGTTGTCTGATAACTGATTTAATTTACCTTTTGAAATCAAAATCGTTCAAAATTCAAGCAGCTGAAGTCAGTGACTTGGGTTACTGTCCACACCTTCATCCCTGGCCAGCGAGAGGGTGGGGACTCTATTAAATAAATAAAGTCTAAAGTCCCTCTCAGCCCCCACCCATGGGTGCCAGTGGGGGCTATTAATAAGTAGGGGAACTTCCTTGTGTCCCCCACTCAAGCCGTGGGTGGCACCTATTGATTAGATAAGATGGTAGAGGGGACATCCTAGTGTGCATCAAGACCCTCACCCTTTAGGGCGAGTGGGTGCTATTGCTTAGTAAATGGGGTGGGGAGGGCATCCTAGTATCCCCCCAGTTTCCACGTATGGGTGACAGTTGTGCGCTATTGATTTTAATAAACAGAGGGGGACTTCCTAGTGTGGTGAATGGGAGCTAATTGAAAATATAGAAAGGCTTTGGTTGCAGGGAGTGATTAATGGGTTATTTACCATTGACCACCACACCCCAAAAAAAGATTGTAGGCAAGTTCCCCCCACCCTCAATAAAAAAATAATAACCTTAATAATAGTGAACAGTGACACTATAAATCGAAAACCTCTTAAACAAAAATCATATTTACCTTTTTAGATGTCTCCTTTCTTTTTAATTTAATTCTTCTTTTACCTAACCCCACAAAAGAGCAAATAACAATCTGTAATAACTGACATGACTAATAAAATTAAAAAAAACAGACACATATGCACCGGATTTTATTACCAACTTGGCAACAATAGCTGGCTGCTCACAGTTTAATAGATGTGCCGCAAGCAGCCGCATTATTGGTGGAAGCATAAGGAAGTTATTAAACGTCCCATATACTAATATGGCGGTCATATTCGTTAGTCTTTTTTTTTTTTGTCTGTGTGTGTATGGGTTTAAGTGTCATATTTTATTATTATTTTTTTTATATATATATTTAACATTTATCAACAACTTTCGGTTGTCAAATCCAGTAAGACCAGTTATTGGGCCAATAGGGGCCCAATAACTGGAATTAAAGCCCCAATATTTTCAATAAAAATTATATGTATTGGTTTTGATATTCAAACTGATAATTATCAGCTTTTCGATAAACCATTAATGACGTCTATTTGATCATTCGGAAACGATAAATAAACTACCCATAAAGATGGTCAGCTCTAATTAAATCAAGTCCATTGTGTTCTATGTTTAAAAGTGCAGGAAATAAAATCTTTAATAATTTATAAATTAACCTACAAAAAAGTACTTTAATACTGCAGTGATTAAATTGTATTGAGGTTTGTTTTTTTTAAATGAAAGCTAGCCAGCACTGGTCTAGGACATCGTCCTGCATCTAATCACTTCTTTCTTTGCCTCCCATATGGTTTAATACTTAATCTTCACCCTGGTAGAATTAAGATGATTTTTGCACGCCAAATAACACCGGCAAATTGACAGATTTTATTTCAGGCTAACTCTGTCTCTATGCAGATTTATTTTCTATTCCCTTTTTTCTCCCTTGTTTCATTGTTTCTTTATATCTCATTCCTCTATTTCCATACGTAGCTAATTTTAACAGCTGAATAGACAGCCCAGCCTGATGTTTCTGTCTTTGTCATTACCAAATTTGTACAGTGATAGATGCAATTGTTCTTGTCTTCCATGACTAAATAAAGCATACAATCATTTTCATGAGATTGGGAGATAAATACAGTATGCAAGATCTCGTTTTAATGAACTTAGAATAAATTTGCATCAGAATTGGAATTTTGTGTATGTGTTTGTGCATATGCTAACACTTGATGTTAAGTGCTTCTCATGGACACACTATTGCAATGTTGTTCACTTACCTAAGGATCATGAAGGGCTGAGTGGACTAGACTTGAAATGTAATCTGTAGCTCCTAGGTTTGAAACGGTTCTGTAGCTGTTGCAATACCCAACTAAACTATCTGACGGACTATGACATTCTAAGTTGTTCAGGAATCTAGGAATTGACCAGTGAATTTCAACTTTTAGGTCAAAATAACAGAAATTAAAACAACTTAGAATACAGCTATGTTTCCAGCTCAGTTGTTTTGGCCTAAAATTTTACATATCTTGGTGAATCTCCAGTGATGAGTTTTTGCTCTTTTTTTTTAGGACCCAAATTGTTAGCTACTTTCATTATTAAAGGGACTTTTGTGAATAAGAGAATTCATGTTACCTAAACCAAAACTGTTTTTTCTCACGCATCATTTCTTTTTCTTTTTTAAATTTAGAAATAGAAACTAATTTTGCATTACTGCATTAGCCAACTAAATACCTGCAACATACATGAACTTTATGCAAGCATATTTTCTTCCCATCCTTGAACCAACCCCCTTTTTTATGTTCTCCAGTTATGTCATCCTTCTCTTTATGCCTCTTTTTTTTGTTACTTCCCCATCAACTTACTAGACTTTTCTTATGCAATTCTCTTTCTCAGATATTCACTTTTTGCAGCTTGCATCACATCCAACCTGATTATTACCTCTGGTCATAGTTTCCTCTCTGAATCTGTCTCCAAACATTTGTAATATTTGTCTGGCATCCCATGCCTCCTCCCTCCCTCAGTCTTCACATCTCTCTCCCTCAGGTGGGGCAGATCATCGAACCACAGCCCTGGGCTATTTTATCACTCCGTGTGTTGGGACTTTCATTTCTATCACATGTTACCTGCTACTATATCGTTTGGTAAATATGAAAATTCAGTATCTGTGTTTCCTATATCATGTTTTATAACATATATTGCATAGTACCAAATGCCAGAGGACTAGAAAAAATATAATTGACCTCACCAGCTGGGTGGAGAGACGGTTTTAGAAATGGAGAATAGAAAATTATTTGTTAACCCATGACCTGAATTCTGTTTTACACATAAAACTGAAAAGCAAAGGTAGAAAATCTTTCAAATAAAGCCAGCTGGATAGTTTTAAAGTTTGCAAGAAAAGCACTTACAAATGGGTGCATCTAAGGAGTTGGTGGCATTTGAGCTTCCCCAGCAAAGTTTAATGACCCCATTCTTCTACATATCTAATTAGCCACATTGCATTTCAGAGTTGGTAGGTTTGCTAAGGAGCAGATTTTTATGATGTAGAGCAGTGGTTCCCAACCCAGTCCTCAAGTATCCCCTAACAGTCCAGGATTAAGGGATTACCCAGTTGTGTCTAAGGTGTTTTTATGGGAATAAAAACACTTTAGACAGAACATGGTGATCCCTAATTCCTGGACTGGCAGTGGGTACTTGAGGACTGGGTTGGAAACCCCTGATGAAGAGTATTGATGCTTAAATGCATACTCTAAAACAACTTTAGCTTAATGACGCCACTTTAATATATAGATCAGGCCCCTGCAGTCTGACTGCTCAATTTTCTGCCCTTTAAGAAGTAAAGCACTTTAGATTATGTTTACACAGTCCTAGCCACACATCCCCTGGCTGTGACTGACACAGCTTGCAAGGAAAAAAATGTTTTAATTTTCAATCAGATCTGATTGCATAGGGTGTATGCTTTAGAAGATTGTATTAATCAAAGGAGGCTCCTACCGGCCACTAACAGAGCAGGAGATAAGAAATTCAAAATTTAGCAGGTTGTGCAATAAAGGAAGTTTAAACATTAGATGTCTCTTTACAGGAAATGTGTAGTGAGATTGTGTAGGCCACATGCAGGGAATGTGTGACTTGGACTGCATAAACAAAGTGAATTAAAGGGAAACTATCATGACATCCGTTCCCACTCTGCAATCTCATTAAAGAGGTGGGTGTTGCACTTCTGCATCACCCAACGTAGGTCTGTCCATGCTCCTCCTAGCAGAACAAACCTTCTCCATTACACTCCCACGCTGGCTTTGTTGTGTCATATCGCTCCGTTCCTGTCCTCCCTAGCCAGCGCCAGCAGCAACGGCTAGGGAGTTGCCATAACAACCACAGCACATGCGTAATTAAAAAATATCTGTTGTAGGTTTTCCAATTTCAAATAATTCAGAATTGCAAACAACCTACAATTCATAAGGCGTCTCAAAGCATTACAATATGTGATAAATGAGACAACTCAGCCCACAGACCTGCTAGGCCTTATTTTTTTATTGATAGATGTAGGTTAATAGTAACATTTTCATAATGATGCATTCTAAAGATAAGTGTTGAAGCGTTACTATTTACCGTGTAGTATCAATGTCTACAATTCAAAAACTTACAGGACTTTTATCTATACTATAGTTTACAGCACTATTAATTGGCCCTTCGAGACTTACCAAGTGGGGAGTGAGCATCTGCTTATGTTAATGACCTCTCCCTTCCAGTCTCAAGGCTGTAATCTTTTAGTATGTGTGTGGAAAATATACAATTACAGATAACATTCAATGTTTTATAGCGAACCTAGTAAATGATACTTGAAAGCATGTATACTAACATTGTGATTGGTAATGTAAATACTAGACTTCTTCATGTAGAGCAGATACCCCATTGCCTTGTGTGTATAAATTTTATAATTGTCGCTATGGAGCAAATGAATGCATGTAATCTCCTGTATATCTATAATCTGCTAGGTGAGTCAAAGGCAGTACTGACCCTCCATGACATCATGCTCCTTAATCATTACATACACAGGAAATGTTATTTAAAAACAAACAAAACTAAATGGTGGTGCTTGCTGATAAGAATATTTAGTGAATGTAGGTAGCCATGCAAGCAAAGCGTGAGGTTCAATCCTGACGAACATGCAGGTACCAATTAGTCTATGCATCCTTGTTGCAACTCTACAAATATAAATTTGAGAGGAAGGCTGAAGTGGTTACTATGAAAGAGTTAGATAACAAAGCAAAACATGTAGCATTAGGACAAAAGTAGAGAGAAATGTATGTCTTTGAATGTCAGAGTCAAAACTGTGTATGACAAGTCATGCAGCTGTAGAATGCTGTGTTTTTTTTATAACAAAAATGTAACCATTTCTATGGACAGGATAGAAGATACAATATTTCACACAAATTTAAACAAGGATTACTTTTAATGGGTGTTTATAAAACATAACATAAAAAACTAAGTATCTTTTCATTTAAATAATTTAATTAGCTTCTGAGTTTTACTGTTATGGATTTTGGCAGTGTTATGTTTCTGATACTGATAAATATTATTTGTTTTATTGTTTACATTTGTTAGGTGTGAGAATTGTTAAGTGGCTTAAAGAAAAAACGTTAACCGTTTTTTTATTACTTGTGTAGTATTTTATACTGAATACATATATATAACTTTTATTGTATCTCTCAGCTTACCATTTCTCGATGAAGGCAGACATTTTTAGCCCTCTTTAGTTGGAAATAATATGCAGAATTTGAAGGTCTCAAATAGTCCTAAAGGGCAGTATTTGTAAGCATACACTATTAGCTCTTGCTCACCTGCACAATTTGTGGTCAGAGTAACTGCTTCTAATCAAGAGGACTTAAACATGGCCATTTTGTTCTAGCAAGGGTAAGCCTACCGATGCATTGAAAAAAAAGTTATTTACTTATATGTATTGTAACGTAATGCTTCAGGCACGTTGCCACGGGAATTGGATCCAAATACCCTGCCTTAAAGCACCAAGTCCTACAGACACTCGTTAGAGATTTTAAAGTAACTCTGTCCCCTTCTGGGGGTATTTGCATATTTTGGAAGATGACAACATTGCTGTTTGCCATGTGGTGGCTCAAGGGTGCAGGAGATGGTAGGTTTTACTTACCTGGTGCTGTCCTTTGCAGCCACTGCCATCGTGTGGATACTCTTAAGCACCTGGTGCTTTATCTGCCAGGAGCCCACTTCAATGCTGTACTCTCACACATGTGCAAGAGTATTACACAGACCATATGGAATTACAAAATTACGGTGATAGCTCTGCCTTTTATCAAGTGTAGTGCCTGCTTTATTATATCTTTTGACTGCGTTGGCATTTCAATGAAATATCAACTAAGTCAAAGTGAATATTTTATCAAAAAAATATATACATTATAGGCAACCAGACTACTTTATTTCATTGAAGTGGTTTGGGTGCAGTGTCCCTGTACCCCTTAGCCCTGCAGTTTTATTGATAAATAGTGATTTATACAAAATAAACAACACAAGAAAACATTGTTCAGCTTGAGCTCTTACTAAGCATTCAGTATGTAGGCCTGACTACTGTTCAGCAGCTACCCTGCTTTTTAACCATAACATAATAAACAGAAGCACTATCCCTGGAATACCTTTCTGCAAGCACATTATTCAAACTCCTTTAGTCAGATGTCTATTTAAGAGCAGCTAGACCCAATTGTTAGCTGCAGGTGAGATAATTAACCTGTTGTGGAAATCCTGGAATAGACTTGTACTCTGCAGCTCCTGTTACTCCAAACATGTGGGGGTGGATCCTCAACCAGCAGTGCATTAAAACAAGTAAAGTTCAGATATTCTGGAATATACTTACCGTATATACTCGAGTATAAGCCGACCCGAATATAAGCCGAGGCCCCTAATTTTACCAACAAAAAATGGGAAAACGTATTGACTCGAGTATAAGACTAGGGTGGGAAATGCAGCAGCTACTGGTAAATTTCTAAATAAAATTAGATCCTAAAAAAATTATATTAATTGAATATTTATTTACAGTGTGCATATGATGAATGCAGTGTGTGTGTGTATGAATGCAGTGTGTGTGTGTATGAATGCAGTATGTGTGTGTGTGTGATGCAGTGTGTGTGTGTGTGTGTGATGCAGTGTGTGTTTGTGTTGCAGAGCCTTGGTGGGGGGGTGGGCATTTTTATAAAAAAAAAAATTAATATTTTAATTTTTTTTGTTATATTATATTATTATTTTTATTATTATTTATATTTATGTATTATTAATGTATTTATTTTGTTGCCCCCTCTCCCTGCTTGATACATGGCAGGGAGGGGGGCTCTCCTTCCCTGGTGGTCCATTGGCAGTTCAGTGGGGGGGAGGAGGGGGGCTGGCAGAGCTGTAACTTACCTCTCCTGCAGCTCCTGTCAGCTCTCTCCTCCTCCGCGCCGGTCCGTGCAGCTCTTCTGTCAGCTCACACTGTAAGTCTCGCGAGAGCCGCACTATGACCCCGCGGCTCTCGCAAGACTTACACTGGGAGCTGACCGAGGTGCTGACCGGACCGGCGCGGAGGAGGAGAGAGCTGCAGGAGAGGTAAGCGCTCGCTGCCAGCCCCCAGTCTGTATTATGGCAATGTAAATTGCCATAATACAGACAGTGACTCGAGTATAAGCCGAGTTGGGGTTTTTCAGCACAAAAAATGTGCTGAAAAACTCGGCTTATACTCGAGTATATACGGTATTTTAATACTGTGTTCTGTCACAAACAGGCAATAATACAGATAACCTTTTTATTTTAAGTAGTAATAAAAATTATGACATTTCCCCCAAATTCAGGTACTGGAATTTCATGAATTCAGGTCTACATTCATAATATATAAGCACTTTCAAAACAAGTGTTGTTTGTTTTTTTGCTGTTGTGTGTATGTGAATTCATTAAATGTAATATGTAGTTATTTTGTTTAATTAGTCTTAGTTATTGTTTTCTGTTTCCTTTCTCATTTGTGCAGGAATTTGCACAGTTTTATCTTTCCAAATCTAACAGTCAGGTTTCTAAGAATTATGAAGTAGAGACAAACACGGAACTGTTAAACAAAGGTACAGAGTAACTTTTTTTTTTCCAATTAAATGAAAACAGTAACCATGCAAAATGTTTACATGTCTGTATAGAAGGTTCATTCTCCATTGGAAAGTAAAAATTCAGTCTTGGCAAGCTTTCCAGAGGAAGACGTATTAGTTTACTTATTGTCGCATACCACATTTTATTTAGTGGGAAAGAAGCCAGTAGCAACATTCAGGTTTAAGGAGGCTCCAGGACCTGAGCTGCTGACAGTGGTGATAGGCATATCCACATCAGGCTGCCTCATCTTGTTCTGTTCAACATATCTTTCTCAGAGCTCATTAGAGCGCAAATTATTCGTATTCTTTGTCATACTAAACACAAAACTCCCATTCACTACAAAAGGTAAGCAAACATAAAGGGCATCTGAACAATGTAAAGAGAGGAGTATGTAGAATAGTAGGAAATGGTTGCAGGACTCATGGGTAACAAAGAGGCGTTGAGTGATGTGGGGAGAGTTCAGACAAATGTGGATGTTGATATTTGACTTGGGGCAGCAGTCATGTGGTGATGGAGAGAACCAATGACAAATACACCTTTCCATTTATATAGTGAAAGTTCACACAAATACACCTCTGCATTCAGAAACACTGACACTTACTGCTGCAGGTGTAAAACACATACACATTTTTTGGAGGCAAGACTTGACAAGTAACTTCATACTTAAAATTTTGAACACTCTGAATGGATAATCTGTGTTTAAATTTAGCTTGTGTTTACTAACAGAGATAAATGGAGATCCTGGAACTGAGAAGAAAGCAGTTCTCCTTCTAAAGGATGGTGAAGCTTGTGTAGCCGTTGAAGAAAAGCAACATGTCTCCATCTGTGCTGTGTTAAAAAAAGTAAGATCACTGACGTCAATGGATATTGGTATTCCAAAAACCATGGGGATTAAATATAAAAAGTTTTGCTTTGACTTTCATGTTTGTGGCAGTTTTGTGCACATTGTCTTGTTTATAAAACTCTATTTTTATACATTGATACCCTTTTTCCACATTCTTTTAGTGCCAAAATAATCTGTCTCTCCACTACTTCTATTCCTCTTTCAGATAGTTTTCTCCCTTTTTCATGTTGATTTTAATGTGCACTCACATTTTGGAGGAATTTTGTTATATATTAAAACAAAATGGTGACATAATGTGATGGAAAAGGTACAGTAAGAAACATTTTGATGCAAATAGGAGGATAAATAGGCGCCATTGGCAAAAGCAAGAGCAGAAATACTCATGTAAAGTTAATACACCACTTTTTAAAGTAACTGTCGTAATAAGGCTGGAGCATCAAGGCCTTGCCGTTACCAATATTTGTTGCACATTTATTATATTTGATTGTGGAATCTTATGTATGACTGCATTTTTTGGTGTATTTCTCCAGCTTTAGGCGAGTAGCAAGTGTTCGTAGTTGTAATCCAGAAAATAACCCCTTTATAATTATTAAAATTGTATATTTTGTCTTCCCAGATCTGGATAATGGCTCTGACCTTAGTGATTGGATTTACAGTGACTCTTTCCGTGTTTCCTGCAATTACTGCAAATGTCAGGAGTAACACCGAAAATGAGTCATGGGGTAAGTGTCTCAGATCATTCTTTTAGCTCCTCCATGCTTTATTACTGTGTGCATCATCTTAGTCTCATTAATTTGTGATTCTATCTCTTTTTATTTTTTAGCAAAATTTTTTAACCCTGTTTGCTGCTTCTTGTTATTTAACATTATGGATTGGGTTGGGCGCAGCATTACGTCATACACTCTGTGGGTAAGTATCCTCCCTTGTTAGAACCCTCCAGTTAGTTCTATCTCTTTTTTTTCTACCAATCCCTTGTTTTTTTTTATCCTGTAACCTTATGTTTGGCCTTATTTTTACTTTTATAGCCCTGTGAAATATAACATGTTATGGTGCCCTCAGTAGTCAAAGATTTTAGTAATTGTGGACTGCCAGAAGTGAACCCATAAAAAAATAATGGTGGCCCAATGTGGTATAATGACCTGTAGGTGGCCAAGTGTAGTGGTTTGGGGATCTCTTTTAAGATCTGGGAGTTACCTGAAAGACACCTAAATATTACTTGTCCCGTGAGTTCACAAAATGTAGTAGATGGAGTTGCGGAAAGCAAACTGCATTTGAAAATATAATGTCCATTTAAGACACAGCATACAGTACCCTTGCATTGACTCTGTTGTAAATAGGTGTGAGGGAGACTGCCTGGGGACTTATGGAGTCTGCACATCCAACAAGTACTTGTACAGGCAGACTTACCTCAGTGAATATGTTTAGCTTTACACTAATAAATATAAAAACCATACCTTCGAGTTGCAAGAATTAATTCCTTATTTAACAAGGAGTCTAGTTATTAAGGTGTCCTGATATTTTCCATGATAGGGCTTTTACAGTTCTCATTACCAAAATCTATTTTTCTCTTCTTTTGATAGTGTCTAAAGAAGAATAGTTATTCTTACGTACCTACATATATTTTATAATTGTGTAGCCCAAATTTTCACATTGACGTACAGCATGGAGATTTATTTGCTTAGCAGATTTTCCATTTCCAGCTCTGCTCTGCTTCGAGTGTCTTTTCTCAGAGCGTACACAGACACGTTTTAAAATGGTCCTCACTCTGAGGCTTATCCTTTTTCTCTTATTAATGACAAGTCAGTTAAAGAATCACACAGGCTACAGAGAAGAAAGAACAGAATCTCTGAATGAATAAGAACAGTAGATGATTTGGATAGCCTTTACTCATAAACACACCTGAATTGCTTTTTTTAGCATTGCCCCTACCCCTGAGCATTCATTTTGATTATTTTTTTTGAATTGTAGGTAAAGCACAAAAACTAAATGCTGAAATGTGTTGTGTCTATACCTTTATTTGCATTTTATTAGTATATGTAGTTAACATTTTATCATTACATAAGTAATATGTTTGCATGGTGTTGTACTTTAATGTTCTTACTGTGTTTCTTTCTTCATCCACAGCCAGGTCCTGACTGTAAATATCTCCCTCTACTTGCGTGCTGCCGCATAATATTTATTCCCTTATTTATGTTGTGTAACATCCCCAACCATAACTACCTCACGGTCATCTTCTCAAATGATGCCTGGTTCATCATCTTCATGATTCTCTTCTCCATGAGCAGCGGCTACTGCATATCTCTCCCTATGTGCCTGGCGCCCAAGTAAGTGACAGCTGTTTATGTAGACATGAAATATGGGTTCATGATTTTATCTTATTTAGATAAGCACTGGGATCATTCAACTTCAGGAACACATAAAGAAAAGTGTAAAATTATTGTTATTTGCAATATAAACATAACCACTTACTTGGTTTTGTTGTAGAGGATATCAATGCCTTCCAGAGTTATACGCCACAGCAAGCAAAGTATGTTTTTAAATCTAGTATCTACTTAAAATGTTGTGACTGCGGTAATACAAATTTTAATAAAATGCTTGTGTGAAAATGCAATGCCATCATTTATACTTTCACTGCAATGGAGATTCTCAGACTTGTTAGAGAAGAGCCTTTGGCAGAGTAGGTTTTACGTGTATTACTCTGCATTACATTGCAAGAGTAGGCATTACTTAAATAGTAAATACAAGTTTGGATACTCAAATTGAGCTCACATTGAAAGAGGATGGAAGTGCAAAGTGGTGTGAGTTCATATAGGTAGCATTAGCACTAAACATCCCAGGATACGATCTGATGGTATAAATGTTAGGTTTTTTTATAGTCCTACTATTATGAAAGTTGGGGTGGGTCAATGTATGATTTTCCTTAATATGAGAAGGGGGATGGTTTCTTTTTCTTTCTCCTTATTTTTGGACATGTGTTGCCATGGGATGAGTATACATAATATGTAAACATGTAGATAGGCGCAAGTATGTATAGAATGAATAGATGTTAATGCATTTTGATCTAGTCATATTCTTTATTTTTGATGTATAGTGTACATGAAAAGAATAAATTAACATCACAGGATAAGCGATATAAATGGTTCAGATTGTGTGTGCAGCTTACAATATGTAATTATAGCTCACATTATCCTCCACAGGAAAGTGTTGCCCCATGAAAGTGAGGTGACTGGTGCCATCATGACATTCTTCCTTGCGTTGGGTCTGTCTCTTGGAGCAGGATTATCTTTCCTTTTGAAAGCTTTGTTATAAGCAGAAGACTGGTTGAACAAAACCACAATGGATCCAACTCATTACATCACTGAACCATATTGTACCATGGATAATCTTTGCAGACATTGCCATCTTATATCCATCGATACATTCCACCGTAAAATATGTTGATGTTTGTTAGTTAAAGCCTTGGAATCACAGTGATACAGATGGCTGTCAGATGAAACATGCTTACAGATAACCTAAACACATTCATTCACTGCAAGGCCAGCTATGAAAAAGAGATACATTGGAATGTTTATATTTATCTAGTTTGGCTTCTCACAGTTCAGTGATTTGTCTTAGCTGCTACCAGTTTTATATAGGAAGAACTATGTGTTATAAGATTTATTTATTCTCCCTAAAAAAAATCAAAATTATTTCTTATTTTGTTCAAATATTTTGTTAAATAAATAGGGAAATTAGGGCAGGAATATCTAAATAAAGGTTAGATATTCTATATTGTGTCATTGTTAATCTGCAGTATGGTGTCAAGAACAAAGTTACACACAACTGGAGATTTTTTTTTTTTTATTTGTTGGGTTTTATTTTATTGTATATACATTTTAAAGGGAGCAGTTGCACGTAGTGAGCAAAATATTTAATGTGTATAAATTTTTTTTTAGAAATGTTACCTTTGCAAGGAAAACATTGTATTCCTAATAATTTTGCTAGTATCACAGCTGAAGGGAATCCACCGTGTATGCTTATGGTGTGCTGTAGAATTTAAAATAATTTTTATATTTTATAGAAGTTTGCATGCTTTTAATATCAGAATTTAAATCTGATTTAACAAAGTTTTTTTTCTGTTTACTGCAGCCGTGTCTAAATAGTTACAGCATCATTTTTTATTAAGCTTGTCCAGCCTTAGCACTCCAACAATTGTGTGGCTTCATTCCCCAAATTTCTTTGTCAACCAAGATATGGTGGTGAATTGTCAGAACTGTATTCAAGTTACATCATGAAGGTCCGATTGGATAACCCTGAGTTATATCATGTGACCTTGATTTTAACAGTCCGTATTATATCATATGGTACTTCTCCCTACTTTTTTTTACCATTAGTATTTCAGAATTCCAGAAAAATTCAAAGGAGTTGGAAAGAAAAAAATATATAAAAATGTATGTTGTCATTTCAAGTATGCAAAAGACTGAAACTGAATTTAAAACCAAGTGGAAATTTAATGGATTATTCACTAAAGTGTGAATAATAATGAATTAAATTTGATTCCATAGTGACTTTAAATTTCAGGGCAATGTAGCCAAACTGAAAACTTAGCTGACGTTGACAATTTTTGCAGTTCAGCTAATGTGCCCTAATACTGGAAATTGACTTTGTATTCCACATTGAATTCCTGACAGTTCACACTTTAGTGAGTATATCGGTTATATTTCGGTGCTTGAAACAGTGTTTACTTTTAGATTATTTTTAGATTTGAATGCTTGAAAGGAAACAGGGCTTATAATGATTTTAATAATTTCTTTAAAATCATGTTTGCCTTGTAGGATGTTAGGTGTTCTTATCGTAGCCTTTTCTGGTAAGTAAAGTCTTGTTGATGAGTGTGATCTTACCAACAAGTTTTGTTATTTATTTTGTAAATGATATAACATCTGTTATGTTTTTCACTGTGGAGCCAAAACTGGAAATGTTAGGTATTATTTTTATTTGGCAACTTATTTTTATACTAATAAAGCTCATTTTTTAGCAAATAAAAAAACATTTTGTTGTTCGTGATTGTCCATTCTTTTTTAGCAATATCACAATGCAATGTTTATTCATAGTGTTATATATAAAGTTGGAGAAAAATGTAAACAAATCAGTAAAGTAAAAGCAGCAAATTCCTCTCATAATAAGAATTTAAAACCTATCCAGTAACAAATAGGATTAATATTTTTTTTTTCTTACCAACCAAAATGACTCATCATGGTTTTTCTTCATTTGTTTCTCACTATGTTTACACAACCATTCTAACATATTACATTAAAGGAACACTGCAGGTACCAACACTACTTCGAATGATTGACATTGTTATGGTGCCTGGAGTTCATGAGCACTGCGTCCCACATCACTGCTAAACAGTTTACTCAGCTTTTAACAGACGTATTTAGTATGCAGTCTGGCCTCCAGAAGCAGATTTCTGGTTTGCCTCTCAAAATATCAGTGGTAGCAGGTAGTAATAGGCAGAGAGGGTCAACTCTTAGCCAATTACCCCTCCCCCCCCAATCCCTGGTAGGAATTGGAAGGTAGTAAGGTGGCAGCATAACTCCACCTCAGCCATAATCTAATCAGAGGCTGCAGGCTACCGAGGAGCGAGCACCTGTACTAAATAGGGAGTAAACCATTCAGCAGTGAAGCAAGGCCCAGTGCCCATGGCCTCCAGGAACTCTAACCACTAGTAGTTGAGGTGTTAAAAATGTTTCTTTAATTAAAAGTATAACTTTCATTGTATACGAGTAATATGATTTTAATTATAATTTGACTTGGTGTAAAGACAACCTAGAGATCTAGCGAAACGAAGAAGATAACACAGTATTAATGTAAGATCGCATCAAGGATGTGTAGAAAACAACAAAAATGAATAATATACAGCTAATTCATTGTCTGTCTGTTTTGCAATCTGTTGTGAAGAGAAATAGTGAGCAGAAATCTCCGGTGTTACAGAGAGGAGAATGTGGCATACAAATATAAAGTAGAGGAATGAAGGTAAATGTTTCAATTATATAAAATTGGTATCATCTTGCCCAGATCCCACTAAAAATTTATTTCTGAGTGACTGCCTCCCCACAATGCCTTGGGCATCTAAATGCAAAATTCTATAGGTACACATGTACACTCTAAATGAGCTACAGCAGTACCACAAGGCCCTACAATACTTAACTAAACTGCATATTATGCATGCCAAAGCAGGCATATAATTTTTTTTATAAAGAATTTTTTTAAAAATGCAACAAATAGCTAGCTTTTAGTTAGCCATTTGGTTTTGCTGAAAGTTCAGAAGTGACAGTTCAGCTTTAAGAATAGGTTTTTTTTTTTTTGTTTGTTTGGTTGATGCACCATAGACCATTTTTATGACCATAGACCATTTTTATGTTTTGCTTTGTGCTTCTTCGGTCAGAATTTCCCTCTTTCTCTTTTTTATTTTTATGTTTTAATTTTTTGTAATTCTTTATTTAGGTCATGCACAAGGTAACAGACACATTCGCACAGCCACAAAAGCTAGTGCTATTAGAACAATAAACATTTGGTAACAGTGGTATGGCTTCTCATACATTGCACATTTTTTTTTTTTCCCCGATTGATAGAAGGTTAAACCAATAGTTGGAAGTACTTGCCCATATTAAATGTAATAACCCGTCATCCATGCTGAGTACCCAGTTAGGTTGGGGGTGAGTGGGACTTAGAGTATGCTCCCATGAAAGTGGTATATAGCCTGTGCTTGGTTCGTCATACGTGTGTTACTTGACGGGCAGTACTTTCATATATAATAATTTTGCGTAGCTACATCCTTAAAGAGGAAGCTTGTATTGTGCTATGTATTATTGTTACGCCTGGTTATTGCAATATAGGTCGCGTGTGTCTTCAGAAAATCAGGTCAGGTGGGGGGGTGAGTATTGTAGTCGACAGACCATCTGGTCATTGGGGTACCTGTGGCATAACTAGATAAACTGTTATCTAAAACAAAGTAGAACAACTTAAAATAACTGAGATTAGCAAAGTGTCAATGAGCAGTGTTATATAGCTGCCTGTTTCAAGTCGCTGCTGCCGCAGACTGGTCCCATCTAGGTCCAGGAGGGACGAAGGGGGTCACCCTCTTAGGGTTCCATTGGTGAGTCGGGTTTGCGGGTCTCTGGATCGATGTGGGTTGTAAAGAGTTCTTCGGCAGTCCCAGGGTGGGTAACAAAACAGCGGCCTCTCCGAGGCTGCTCACTGTGTGCTTGACTTCTCCCTGCTGGGTCCACAGGGCGCAGGACTTTAGACATTTGTATTGTATATATTTTTGTCTTAGCAGTGTGGTGAATGGCTTGATTGATTTCCGCCAGGCAAGTGTGCCCCCAGTAAGGTCCGCATAAAACGAGAGTTCCATTGCTTCAAACTGGTAAGGCGTGCAGTCCCTAGTCACTCCAACGACCGCCGCTTTATCTTTATGGTGCTGGAACCGTATGATAAGATCTCGGGGTGCCATGGCAGGTGCCTTAGCTGGTTTCTGGGCTCGAAAGAAGTCGTCCAGGTGTACTGACTTAGCCTGCCGTGGCAGGAGCAGGGCCACCAATAGGCGTCTCAGTATGTGTGGCAGTTCGGCCACCGGAGTATCCTCCGGGATGCCCCGGACTTTCAAATTATTGCCCCGTCGTGCATCCTCAAGTACCGCGAACTAGCGCTCGTACATCTCATTATGTTGCTGGAGCCCCTGTACCGCTTGCTGCAGTGCGGTTAGTTGGGTAGAGTGGTCGTTGGTAGCCTCTACGGGGCTCCAGGGCTCCGATCTGTCCTGTTAGGCCGTGGATGTCGGCTCGGAGTGAGGCAACGTCTGTTTGGAGGGTTCGCTGGAGATCAGCGAGAAGTGACTTCAAGACTGCTGTTGTCACCTGTGAGGCATTGATTCTCTGGGCTACCGGTACTGGTGGTTGTACCGGAGGTAGGTCTGTGGTCACTTCTCCCGAGGAGAAATCATCCGATAGTTCGGAATATGTCTCTGGATAGGCGGCCATTTTGGGCCCAGTTGCCCCTTGTGTCTGCCTCAGGAGTCCTGTCTCAGTTTGTCTGGTCTGGGTTTCTTTGTTTTGCGGCCCATTATGTAGTCCTGTCACTATCAACCCCTGTGAGTGGGGAAAGTATCGCTTAGGTGGTGCCAAATGGGTAGATTTGGGCCTGAAATTGCAGGAGCCCATGTGCCATGCGACTGTTCAGCTCAGTTGCTAAGCTCCCCCCCCCCTCCCTCTTTCTCTTTAAGTTGATCCACACTCTATATATTTTTTTAACCTGCATTTTATTGAGAGTTTTTGAGGTTTACAATGTACAGTAGGATAGAATACTTGTGTTCATGAGTTTCAGAACAAGAATGACAGGAAACAAAAATAATAATAAGACAAAAACAAACAGAAAATAAAGCAATTATAAAAAATTCATTTTTTTCTTTTTTTAAAAAGAGACAATTAGTTTTTTGTTGTTGTTTTTTTTTAGTATTAATAAAACATAAAAAAGTAAAAACATGTTTTTCTTACTACCACAATAAAAAATGTAAAAAGTGCTTAAAACTATCAGTTCCAAAAGATAGAGGAAACATTTTGTTTAATACTTCCCCTTTAAGAATGTCAATTAGCTGCTGCACACTTTAGTGTGTGTACACGCATGTGCACACCCTCATCTTTTATAGACCTCAATTGAATTATTTTGAATAAATGTTTGAAATTATCACAATCTGTTAGTAAAACCTTTCAAATCACTTATCTACAAAAATCCCCATTGACTTTATTGATGACTTCTGGAAATAAATAATTTTATCTAACCAGTTGCATTAATTTGAATAGCTTATCCAAAAGAATTAAACCAAGGCCTATAGTGTCCACCCATTACACAATTTCTATGCATTCAGCACTCTCAAAAACACAATTCATAACAACATAAGCTTCACTTTCTCTGTTAACGTCCCGCCGAACAATCTAAACTCCAGAAATCCCTGACCCTGACAGTCCTCCTATTTACAACACCCTACTTTACATTAGCACCTTTATCTGATTACCAGCCTCTGTCTCCTCATCAGACCTTTAACCTCACAATTCGTTGCCAGTCGTCTATCCTCTTTGCATAGCTATTCCAGTCAATCCTTCCCATTGAGTCAATATTGAAAAGGTGGAAGAGCAAGCAGCCCCTGCCCATTGAATGTTGGTTCCTACCCATACAAATGGGCCTTTTAAATGTTAAACATAAGCAGCCCCTGCCCATTGAATGTTGGTTCCTACCCATACAAATGGGCCTTTTAAATGTTAAACATAAATGGGTCACCTTAAATGTTAAATATAAGTGGGACACTTTAGATGTTACATCTCTATGTACATTTAAAATACACTTGAGGTAGAGAAAAAATAAACTAGTGGCAAGAGAAGTAAAATAAATTAGTGTCCAGCCCAGCAAAATCTATGTGATCTGTTTCTGTGTTTCAAATTGTTTTGATATACTGATCAAGGCTGAACAATGAGCTATCCTCCCCAGGTCCAGAAACAGGGGAGGGGGGGGGACTTATAAAAAAAAGTTGTAATTTGAAAAGTTGTGAAATGTAAAGGAATAAGAAAAGTTCCATAACCACTACATACCACTATGGTGGTTATGGTACAAGGAGTGCCCTTGAGCCAACCCACAGTAAGTAGTCCGTCTGTTTCAGTTATGCCAGGCACCCACTGCTACCCTGCATGCAGTCAACTAATGAGTGCCACCCTTGAGCCATGCTTAGCTGCAGAGACAGGCTTCTGCAGGAGAAGACTAGATACCAGGGGGACCAGGTAAGTTATCAAATCATTTTAAAACAGTTTGACTGCTGTTACACACACTCTCACATAATCTCCTACACACACAAACAGCATTCAGCTAACACAAACAACACTCATAGATTAGAAATATACCAAAATAAGTCCTGTGCTCAAACTCCCACTACTCCTTGGCGGCGGCAATGACCATAGTACACAGCCCCAAGACATACAATAAAAACCAAAGAAAATATTTACTTGCACGCTA